TGGGCATGTGAGGTGGCCACACAGGCCAGGAGGAGATGGAACTGACTGCTTCTCTGAGGAGGTTTGGAGGGAAGGCCTCAGGGAGAACCACAGGGGAAGGCATACTTCGCAGTAGCTGGCAAGCCCATGAGAGAAAAGGCGAGAGGGCAACCATCTGCCCTGGTATAGAGGCCAGCGGATGGCCACAAGGAGTCTCCAGAGGCCTGCAAGAGTCACGCAAACTGGAATGGGGCCTGGGAAAGGCCCTTCTGTGTGCCCAGGCCTGCTCCCCCAACACCGTGAGCCTAGAAACAAAGGAGCCATTCTCTCTAGGATTTGATGCCGCCATCTCCGGCTGGCAGTGCCAGGTGGTGGGGGCACCAGGGGGTGTCAATCCATTACCCCCCCACCAACTCCTAGGTCCTCTGGGGCTGGATGTTGGGGAGGTGGGTGTTCCATGCTATGTTGCCATAGCAACCACCCCAACCCCCACCTTCCAAAGCACAAAGAGAGACAGATTTCACCCCCACCCCCAGGAAGAACCTGGGTCTGGTTGAAAATCTTCCCTTGGGAATCCTCCTTTTTGATGCACAAGCTATGGCATGTATAAGCATCACCCTCTTTTCAGCATTAGAGCTAAGATTCTGCCATCTGCAGCCATAGGGACAAGGAGGCTGGTGCATCTAGTCTCTGGGCAATGATGTGCAAGTGAGCACGAATCCCTCGCACTCAGCCCTTTCTCCCTCTAAGCTCTCCTGCCCCTCACCTATAGGCAAGGCCATCCTGGGCTTTCTCAGCCGAAACGAGGCCTTGACCTTCTTTCCCAGAAGGGACACCCAGACTACCCCCAGCAAGCCTCCAGGCTGTGGGAACCGAGAAGACGAGAGGGTCATTCCTGCCACCCTCCATCTGCACCCTCCCGCCATTACTCATTAGACATTCTGCCCCCTCCTTCCGCTCGTTAAGCCTGATTTGCATACATTTGCATAATACGACTCATTTGCATTCCAGGAGGCTCATGGTAGGAGCCAGGAAAAAAGGGGAGGAGGGTTGCAGAAGAGAGAAAAGGGGAGAGAGATTTTGTTTTCATAAAAGTGTGTTTGGGAGTGGGGGAAGAGGTAGCAGGAAGAGGACAGAAATAAAAACACACTACTTTCTTTCTTTCCTCTGCCCTCCCTCCCTGAGCTGGACTCAGATGCCAAAGAGAGATGCCAAGGGGCCGGCTTTTCTGTCCTTTTTTGTCTTCCTTCCTCTGGCCTTGGCTGCCCAGCCTGGCCCCCCACCTTGCTGGGCTCAGGCTTCAGAGGGAAAGAGGCAGGGGTAGCAGGCAAGGCTGTGGGAAGGGAGGCAGGGGGCAGGGCGGCCGCCATCTTGGGTAGCGGGCGCCCACAAAATGGCCGCCGCGGGCAGGTGTGGCCGGCAGCCAGCCCTGGCCCGGGGACGCGGACGAGGTGAGGCCACAGGAAGTACCTTCTGCTTGACCGGGAACGTGGGTGAGTCTTCCTACTGGGACCGAGAGGGGAGGACGGGGAGAAAAGGAAGGAGAGAGAGGAGCAATGGCACCTCCAGAGGAGATCCAAGCGTCCCACAGGAACAGGGACAGTGGCGAGGCCTCTGCGCTGGGTTCGGTTCTAGGTCGTTCCTGAGCAGCAGTTGTCAGAGGCCTGGGGGTAACGTAAAAGATACTTGGAAAAGCAAGAGCCGGGACTATTGGCAGGAGGAGGGAATGGGTACGGTGTGGGCAGAGACGGCCGTCTGCAGGTTGAAGGGGCTCTCTGGGCCGTCTGAAGAGCCGCTGTTTGCCGGGGTGCAGGGAGCCCCAAGTCTTCTCCCCTCTGCCCGGCAGCCTGGCTTCCATCTTCCTAACTGTGGGGAAATGGTGCCTTCTTGGGCCACTCACAGCCTCCTCAGTCAGACCCAATGGCTTTTGCTCAGGCCTGGCACTTCTGTGGAGCATTTCATACTGACATCCACTCTGTCCTCTCCTTGGTCCCCAGCCCTCCTGTTACATCCCTGCGTGTTCCTTCTGGGCTCCATTCTCGCAGTCCTCTGGGTCAACCAGTCCTCCAGCCAGAGAACTGCTAGTAATGCTTTTTTTTCTTCCTAGGCACTCTCATTCACTTTTATCACTTAAACCATCTTCTGGAGTTATAAATGCTCACTCATTTCTCTAGTCTTGACCTCTTCTACTTTGCATCCTAACTAGTACCTATGGTCCGGCCATTAGCTCTCAGATGAGACTGGAGTGATGCATCTGATTGGCTAACTTGATCACATGCCCAGCCCATAGCTGCGAGGAGGGTAGGGAAAGGACCTGTGCTTTTGGTCCCTGTTGGGTGTATAAGTACAAGCACCCTCCAAAACTCATGATGAGCCATTCCCCAGACATAAGAAGGGCATTCAGATGCTCACTTGCTCGGCATTGCATTCCAAGTCTTGCCCCATGATCCTGCTTCCATCTCCCTGCCAGTGGTATGCTTAAAGTCCTAGGCCCTCAGGTGCAGATTGTGAGAACTGGCCTAGATTTGCCCTCTTCCTTCTCTCTTATCCAGATCGGTCACATCGGAACCCATGACCTGCGCCTTTGTAGCTCCTCTCCTATCCATCCATTCCTTCCCTTACCCCTGCCTCCTCGTTCATTGGACAGGCATTTATTGAGTGCCTCCTGTGAGCCAGGTGCTCTGGTGAAGAAGGTGGCACGCAAAGCTGCTTGAGGAGCTAGCAGTCTAGTAGGGGAGACAGACACACAAATAATCACAAGACAGTGCGAAGACTGGAGTCCTGAAGACCTGCACAGAGTGTTGTGGGACCACGTGGGAGGGGGCTGTGGGACACCTTAGGAGAATTAAGGAAGGCCTGGAGGGTGCCAGAAGATGAGTAATAAAAGATAAAGGGAATGAAAGTGCTAGGAGGTAAACAGGAGGTTTACCTGTGAGGGCAAGGAGGTGGGAAAGATCACTGTGTGTTAGGGGGCTAGAGTGTTCATCACAGGGACTCTGGGCTGGGAATAGATGGGAAACAGAGGCAGAAGTTGGCTATTAAGAGCCTTATGTGCACCACCAAGGAGGCTGGATTTGATGGGGTTACTGGGAAGTTTGCTGATAGCGTCAGCGAGGTACAAGGTATGGCTGCAGAGTAGCACATAAGCACTCCCAGGAGGGCCAAGGACACCCACGTATAGCTGCCCACTGAGCCCAGAACCCAACCAGACACCTAACTGGCTCTTTTTTCTGCAAGTGAAGGAACATGAAAGGCCTGGGAACTATGTGAGGAAGGGCCTCTGGCTCACCCCATCTAGAATCACCCCCACCCACCACTACACATGCACACATACATGTGTGCACACACACAGTGCAGGCAGAAGCCAAAGTTGGTCCCCAGCACGAGAAGTGTCCTGAGGTCAGGACAGGAGATGGGCTACTGCGGACGGAGTGAAGAACCGAAAAGGGGGTTCATTCAGTCCTGGCAACTTACTGAAAGAGGGAATAAGGGAAGTAGTGAAGGGGTCTCCCAGGGTAGGCCAAATCTCTGAGGAGATTCTTCCTAGAGAAAGGGGGTTGAAGGCTGGAAAGACAGCTAAGGAGAGGATGTGGCCGCTCCTGGGGTTGAATGGAAGTGGGGGTGCCAGCTACCACCCCCTCCTCTAGGCCCAGCCTCCACACAAAGAGCTCTCTGTGAGTGGCCATGGAAGTGACCCTGTCAGGTGAGGAGGCTTAACTCCCAGGGCCCATTGGGGGTGGGGTAGAAGGGGGCTGGAGGCAGGGAGGGCTGGGGGTGGCCTCCAGCTTTAACCAGGTCTGGGAAGGAGATAGAAGCTGAGATCTGGCCAGGGTGTCATAGCAAAGCCATGGTGCGGCCATTCCTAGGATGGGCTCCTCTCCATGATCCACTCGGGCGGCGCAGGCCCTGCACATCAAGACCCTGCCCCTGCCCACTCATGTCTTCCTAGCTATAGCCAATCCTGCCAGGCCTGCCCAGCCTCCCTTCCCCGACCCGTCCCTGCCCCTGTAGTTACAGTGCTGCTGGGGCTGACACCACCCTGCACCTCTCCTCTTCCCAGCGCAGGACTGCTGGAGTTTGCACTGGGCTGTCCTCCAGGGAGGGCTGTGTTGGGAGGAGAAGACTGACCACAGCCACAAAGGAGTCCTGAGGCCACCTCACACTCCACTTGTGTTGTCCTCCCAAGGGGAGGTTTCACTCCTGGCCTGGCCTCAGTGTCCCTTGCTATGATCATCAGTGTGGACAGACCTTCTCCCCCACTTCCTGCAACTGCTGTGCACTCTGTCCCTTCTCATGCATGCCCGGGTTTGGAGCACCGAAAGCAGTAGGACACAACCTCAGCTTGCAGGCCGCTCACAGGTTTGACAGGAGCTCTGTCCACAGGGAGGACAACAACAGAAGGACGTTTTCATTTCTGATTCTGGAATCCGATAGACTGGTCAGGATACAAATTCTCGTGTCCCTCCCTTACTGGCTGGGGACCTCAAGCCAGTCACTTAATGTCTTTGGACCCTAACTTCGTTGCATGGTTATCCTGAGGAGCAAATGAGTCAGTGTGAATGAGAGTGTTTTGTAGAGCTGTGTGCCGATGTCCAGTGTTAATTCTAAATGCTGAGGGACAGAGTTAGAGGGTTCATTGCAGATACTTGGGGACAATCAGGGAAGACTTCCAGGCTTTGGAAATGAAGGCCTGGATAGCTGGGGAGAAGAACGAAGGGACTGGACAATCCATGATGGAAGCCTGCCTGAGCGGCGTGGCTGGGCTCTGTGGACTGGCTGCAGCTCAGCTCAAGCAGGCAAGCGTCTTGCTGAGGCTGGTGTGGGAGGCACTCTTTTTTAACAAGCAGGTGGTACTCGTGACCACAACTACTTCTATCCTCAGGAAGAACTTCCCGCTGGCCCTGTGCAAATGCTGTCCAGCAGTCCTGGGTGGAGGAGGGGTGGAGTGAAGCCCTACGCCCCCACATTGCCCTAACCCACTCTGCTCGCCCTCCTGCAGCCCTCGTCTCGATGTTTTCCAGGAGCCCCAGGGAGTGCTGGCCAGACATTGCAACCCGCCACTGGACATACCGACTAAATCCCCAAGCCCTGCTGCTTCGGACCTTCTCAAGCCCCCGATTTTATGGCTCCTTAGCATTTTCAGGAGTGACTTAAATTCAGACTTATTTAGCTCTCTTGGCCCACAGGCCGGGGAGACTTTAAGCAGGAGGGTCTTTTGTCTGTGAGTGATCATCCCTCGTTGTACAAGGATCGGGAGGAGGAATGGTTTGGCAGCCTCCCCCGCAGACAGCGCAGGGGCCTTCAGGCCTGGAAGGAGGACGGGGCTGAGGCTGGCATATGGAGGGAGAGCCCAGGGCACGGGGGCATGAGCTTCACCCAGCCGGGGCTACCTTCTGCTGGGTTTGTCCATCTGGCACCCACTGGCTTCCCAGGGCCGCCTCCACAACCGACCAGACACCTCCTTCTGCTGTAGCCGTGGCAACTGGCTGCCATCTTGTGCTTGGCACTGTGTTCTGGCTGCACTTTCCCACGGGATTCCTGGAGGAAGGGAGGTAGGTCTCCAGGGATTCAGCCCTTTCCCTGATATCCACCCAAGAAAGACTCATGTTGATACAGGACTTCCAGAAATAGCCAGAATAGAGGTTTACTATATGTCAGGCTCCATGCTAAATACTCCCTGTGTGTTATTTAATATGGTCAAGAAACCATTAATGAGATAATATTTAAGAGGTCTCCACCCGGTTTCCTGTTTCTTTGACAGACTCTTCCTCTCTCCAACCAGGAAATTCCATGATCTTGCTCATTCTTGTCTTGGGAAGTCCTTTCCAATTTCTAGTCAAGATCTGCACGGCTGAAGCACCAGTTCTTTTAACCTTGGTTTGACATGGCTAATCTGAGAGGTAAGGAAGAAACTGCCACCCAGCTTCTGACACTTTATGGAGCTTCCGGACCCCAGCTGTTGGGGTGGGAAACAGACTCGTTTCCTAGTTTGGTGAGGTTTCAGTGCCCCTTAAAGACTTGGGGACCCGAGTCCAAAACCTTTTGTTTAGAGAAGGGGATTCAGTGTCACAGAATGATTTGAAATTCCCCTTCCTTACCCCGTCCTCACCCAAAGAAAGAGGCAGGAGCCCCAGAGCACCGGAGAGTGATAGTTCCCCAAGCTCTGGTGGGGTCCCCTCAGGAAGGCAGTCCCTCCTCTCCCAGCGCCACGGACGGTCCCATCGCATCTGTAAGCGGCACTGAGCAGGAGCCTGCTTTGCTGAGGGGCAGGTGGAGAGAAAAAGCCCTTCTCAGCTGAGGAAGGGGGGCTGGCGGGGGGTGGTGGCTGGGAATGATTCACATCACTGCTCCCCGCCCCACCCTCTGCCCAGCCCCCAGCCAGAACCGTCGTTAGAAGGTGCCCAGAGATGCCTGCTCTGTAACAGGCCCATCTGGACTCCTCCGCTCCTACCCGGGGGCGAGTCCCGCCCTGAGCTCGCCCCAGCACCCCTCTGCAGGCCTTCACAGACACGAGGCTCTTCCATGGGCCCCGCAAATCCAGGCAGGCTGAGGATCTGTAACAAGGAACGGGAGAGCGGGGCTGACAGACTCAGGGGAGCACGAGGAACAGCTGGTTCACCTCAGGGCCTCTAGGAGCGCCCCCAGCCTGGGAAGAAGGCCAGGGGGTGTCGGAGACACAGGACTTGAGCCCAGGTTTGCCGGAGGCTGAGTCCTTAGCTTTGTGGGTTTCCAGTACGCGGACGAGGCGGACTTCCCACCCCCACCCCTCCGTGGTAAGTCCAGGTCAGGGGCCTGTGAAGGCAGAGCTGAGGGTGGGGGGGGCAGGGAGGAGGAAGGTCGGTCCAGGAAGCCTGAGGGGGGAAGGTGATCTGAGCAGGGCCGAGTGACGCAGGGGTGCGGCTCAGATCCCCTCGTTCTGAAATTTTCTTTTCAGATTTTAAAGCCCTTGGAGAAGTTGGGTAAGGTGAACTTTGGGGGCTCTCACAGCTGTTGGCTCCCAATTCTGGATGGGGCAGAATAGGAACGCTGCCCACATCTGGGCTTCTGTGTAGCCCCTAATTTTATTCTTTCTGAGGCCCAGCTTCCCTCCACCCCAGGAAGGAAGGAACTGACCTTGATGCGGCACCTACTTCTTTCAGCCCTTCCTTAGCCATTATCTCAGCTAATCTTTCAGCATCCTGATGACTGGGTGATACTGTCCCCACTTTACAAAGGGGGAGTCAGAGCCCCACAAAGGGACATGTAAGCTGCCCAGTCACAGGACTCGTCAGGTGGACTGGGTTTCAAATGGGGCTTCATGGGTCTTGAAGCACATGCTGTCTCCCTGTGTGGACTGCCCACAGAACAGGTCCCCAGCCCAACTGGGGGGACTGAGAGGAGAGGACCTAGAAGGCAGGGCAGCTCCTCAGCACATTCTTGTGGGAGGGAGAGGGTGCTCCTTCTCAGGTGCAGGGGTGAAGTCTGAGGGATGCTAGAACAGCCCTTGCAGATCGAAGACAGGACTGGGGAAGGGGCCACAGGGGCATAGAAGTCACCGCAGTCCTCCCAGGTTGGTCCCTGGCTGAGGCAGCGTGCTCCCCACCCTCCTGAAGCAAGTCCCCTGGGCCACCGCCTAATCTGTCACCTGCTCAGCCTCTGAGTTCCCACCCTGAGCCTTCCTCGCCCCCTTGCCCTGGGTAGAACATTTAGAAGAGATGCCTAGACTCAGCCCTTTGTTACAGGGCCTTCCCCAGCCCCTCACCTTTCCTGGTGGAGGGGAGGCCCTTCCAGGGCCACTGGACATTGTCCTCTGCCTCCCTCTGTTTCCATCCAAAGAGAATCTTTTTCACTCTTGACATTGTTTTCTTTTCAGACCAAAAAGAAGAACCTGCTTCACCCAGTAGGCCTGGCTTCCCTCTGAGAAGCCTTCCTGGATTGACTGAAAGATGAGGCTAAACTCCAGCAAGTTGACCAGCTCCTCAAGAAGCGTTTGAGCAGGCTGGAAGCGGGGAGGCCCTGGCCACCAGCCTGGGCGGCCCCTTACACCAGGACCTAGAGCTTTGCTCCGCCACGGCTCCCATGTCCGCAAGCTGTCCATCCAGGCCCAGCCCAGTTTCTCCTGTGTCAGCTGAGCAGAGATTCCTCAGAGGTGGACGTCCCGTCTCATGTCTAATAAAGACTTCTGAACAATGAGCAGTGGTGGTGGCTGTGCCTGGGCAGGGTTGGGAGGGGAGGGACTGAACCAGAAGAGGGCAAGGCTGGACTCCCTCCAAGAGACCAGTGCTAGAGGGGCCGCCACTGCAACAGAAGGTGGGCCTCACTGGGGCAGAACTCCCACCTGCGGGGTGCGGTGGGGCGTGCCCCTCCTTGGCTCCGCTCAGCCACCCGAGGCTCCTGGGAAGGCCATCTGTGATCGGGTCAGTCCCCGCTTAGAGCCATGGGCTGACGCTGCCAGCTGAGGAGCCCCCGGGTGCCATCCCAAGAACCAAGAGAATGGCAGAAGGTGGGTTTGCACCCCCGGAGTGCCTGTGTGGAAAGTCACTGGGCAGCCCTCTGTCTCCCTGGAAGTGACTCTTCCTCAGAAATATCCTCCTGGGTTGGCACCCCTGCCCCGCGGGGCTACCTATTCCTGCGTCTGTCCTCCCTGTCCACCTTCAGAGAAAAAAGGGAATGAATATGCCTATTCATATTCAGGGAATCGAGGGATTCAGGTAGACAACAGGAAGGACTTCCCAACAGGCACTGGGTGGGAACCCGAGGGCCAAGGGAACCCCACCATGAGGAGCTGGGACATTTTGTGACCCCATTTTTCCCCATAACACACCTGTACCCAACATGTTCCCCCAAAAGGTAGGTCCCTGACAATGGAAAATGTAAGCAGAGTCCAGACTGCCAGCACCTTTGGAGACCTCCACCATCCTCGGAAGTCAGTCCTCTCATCTAACCACAACCCATCCATGTAACTATAGTTTGAATCCCAGAATTTTTCTAAATAAAAAGACAAATAATACACATGCTACAATTCTAAAAGCACAAAAGGGAAAGTACATCTTCCCACCCCTATTCCCAGCACTTACCTCCTCTCCCAAGAGACAACCACTGGTAACTTTGTCCTCCCCAAGATACTCCATACGTGTCCAAACATGTATGTCTACACTGCACCTGCTATTTAAACACAGACCACAGCATTTTTAACTCCACTAGGCCAGGACTTCTAGCCTGAGGTAAACACAAACTTCAGGGGATCTTCACCTCTGTTGAAATTACAGCCAGAGTGCTGGCTAGGCATCTGGACACTTTCCAGAAAGAGGGAACACATTAGAGCCACTGGTCCAGCCCAGCTCCTCATCTCACAGCAGAAACGGGCCAGAGAGGAGAAGGGCTATGTCCAGAGTCCTCAGCATGGTGGAGGCACATCAGAACTCTTCCCCAACCTACAGGCCAAGCAGCCACTGCAAAGACGGGGTGTAGGGGGCTGATAGAGCCAAAGCAGCCGGGAAGAGGCAGCTCTATTTGCGTCACAATCTGGCATATTTAAGGGGCTGAGCCTGGCTTACCAGGCTGGGCCAGTGTTCCTGAAGTTCTCAGCCCTCTGGGGGCTTCCCACTGCCAGGCTGCTGGGACCCACTTTAGGCTTGGGAGGTCAGTTCTGGGAGGAGGGGTGAGTGGAGACAGGGTCTGGCCTGGGGTCAGCATGAAGGAAGTTGCCCAGGTCTGCCCTCCACCTGCCTCCGCTTTTGTTTGGACTGAGCCTGCGTGTCAATCTTCAGGGCCTCCTTACCCTCTGGGTGCAAAGAGGCAACAGGTGACTGCGGCCAGCCCTGGGCCTCCACTAACGGCCTCCTGGCTTGGAAGGGAGGCTCCTGGTGAAGGAGTTGGGGCAGGCACGAGGAGATGGGAGGAGGATTTCTCTGAGTACCGGAAAGGAAGCAGGGCACCAGCGACAGCAGGTGGGAGAGGAGCTCTGGAGGGTGACCTGCCTTTTGGAAACAGAAAGACCCAGACACAGACAAGGGCAGAGGGTGGGGTGGGCCCCCTCCCTCGACAGGGATGCCAGGACTGGGGTGGGATGGTCCAGGAGGGACACTTAGGAATGTGCTCTCAGAGTCCCACTGAGCATATGCAGATGAGGCCTGTCTGTATGCAAATGAGACCGTCTGTATGCAGATGAGGAGAGAGGGCATTCTCTTCTCAGGGTTACCATAGAGCCCATCCCGCCCCCTTCCCTCAGGGCCCCAGCTGCAGGGCAGCCTGGGAAGAGGCCAGCCCTGGGGGATGGAGGGGAGCAAGGGGCAACCTGCGATAGAGGTGAGACTTCAGGAAGGACTTACCAAAGGAAAATGGCCAGTTCTGGGAAAGGGACTAGAAGTAAAATGGGGAACATACTGGGGCTGCTGGGAGACCCAGGCAAAAAAAGGAGGGTGTGGACAGTGAAAAAACATCTCAGTCACTGGGAAACACAAGCAGACTGACAGAAAACTTTGAGAGGGAGGGCAGGAAGACAAAGATCTTCGACTGAGCATCTACTCTATGCCAGGTCCCACACAGAGCGCCTTCCACTCACGGTCTCAATGGAGGCTGGCGATAATCCTGTGGGGCCTTTCACAGGTGAGGTCCAGACAGGCTGACAATGGCCGGGACACACAGTGTGCAAACGGCAGGGCCCTGGCCTGCCCAACTCCATGGCGCGCAGCCACAGCTCAGAGCCTTCCTACCCTTTCCTGGCAAGCAAAGACAGCTCCTGACCTGAGGGGAGGTGAAAGGCGTTAGGGGTTTGGAGGCGGAGCCTAGATGAGGGGTGCTCATGCACCCTGAGGGGAGGCAAGGCTGGGTCCCCGCCCAGATTGGGCCTGCAGAGGGCTGAGACCTGGGTTTGGAGGGCAGGGTGGCACTGTTGGGGGTGGCTGGGTAGGCAGAAACCAGGAGGGGGACATCAGTATTGGGAAGGATGCTGGGAAAGTATGTGGAGGACAGTGAGGTCCAGAGAGATTGGGAGGGTTGCTCTCCTCACTCAGCAGAACCAAGTCCAAGCTGGGCCTGAACCCAGGACACTGGGCCCCCAGCCCAAGGCTCCTTCCTGGGAGTGAGGAGGCTGGGAGTGGGGGTGTCTTTGAGAATAGTCTCTCCTCTTCCTCCCATGGCCTGCGGCCCCCCACATCCAACTGTGTGGCCAAGGCCTTTGTGGGGAAGCCGTGGGGAAGAGAGGCCTCTTGTTGGCCCATTCATCATGCCGGAGGCTTGGCCAGTGCCAGCCCCCAACACCGGCTGGGCTTCCCTTCCTGGGGGTGCCAGCGGGTCCCCACCCGCTGCCACAGCCCACTCCCCAGCTCTGTCGTTTCCTGGAGCCTCCGGGCTTTGGCCCTGGTCCCGGCTGAAGGATGGCGGGGAGCCCCAGCCCCTGTGGCCCCCACACCTCGCCTTTCACATGCTGGCACCAGAGCCGTGGGAACGCTGACGGCAGCTGGGCACCGGTGCCCTGCTCTGCCCACCCCCAGCCTAGCTGACCTCAAGAGGGGAGAGGAACAGCCTGCCCCCAAAACAAACCCCTCCAGGATGGGGCCCTCGAAATCCTTCGCACTAATTATGAATCTGGGGACAAACAAGGCATTTGCAAGTCAATTAGTGACAGAACTTTCCCAGGAAAGAGTTTCATCCAAGCTCAGCTTCAGACAGGGCCACATGCTGGGTCATCTTGTCCCTCCCCCTGTCTCTGCCCTGCTCGAAGCTCAGGGATGGGGTTGGCCCAGTGTTCTGCAGCCCCGATGTGGCTTGAGGGTGCCAAGGCCTGAGCAGGAATGAGGGGCTGGCGGGCAAGGCCTCCCTCTGCTGAGGTCAGCTGGAGGCCACTACAGGGCTGCCACCAGGGACACCCTGCCTGCCCTTGAAGATGACAGAGAGACCAGGACAAGAGGAAACCAAGAGAGACAGGAAGGGCCTGGGCATCTCAGTTTGTGCCCAGGCAGGAGGCGCACAGCCAGAGGGGCCTGAGCTACATGTCAGGAGCTGCAGGGGGACTGCCCGCCCCCCATCGGGGGCCACTTTCCATAGAGAGGGAGACAGAGCGCAAGACGTTGCTCTTCCCAGGCTGGGAGGCCTGTAGTTAGGGAAGGGGCTGCCTGCCGAGAAGACCCCTTAATTGGGGGAAGAAAGGGAGGGAAGGGGCTGGTCGGGGCAAAAGCCCTAGAGCCAGCCTGGCCATCTGAGGAAGATTAAGGGGTTATAATTAAACCATTTGAGGGACTCCGAGCAGGTGGGCTGGTGCTGGTGCTAACGATCTAATTGCTGCCTTTAGCCAGGGCTTTAGCCAGGGGCCGCTGCCTAGGCTTGGTAATGAGTGGGGGTGGTTCCTTTAAAGGAGGTGGTGTGAGAAGAGGCGGAGTCGAGGGGCCAGGAGGGGATGTCTTTTCTTCACTTTGAACACCCCAGCTGACAGGGTCACGTGCCCTGAGGGTCGCCCCTACCGTCCTCTCTAAGAAACTAGGATGAAGGCTGCAACGTAATGGAGTTAGAGGAGGCCTGGAGAAGAATTGTTTTGGGCCAGAGTGATCAAAGAGGCGGCTTAGGTTCCCTTAGAGAAAGGGCCATGGGAGCAGGGGATGGTTCGGCGTCCTTGGAACAATGACAACAGCCAGCATTAGCTGACAATGTACTCTGTGCCAAGCATCGCACTAAACACTCTATCAACCTATTTAACCTTACAACCATGGTAAAGTCAGTCTCACTCCCAGGACAAGACGGAGGGGGAGGCACTTGTCTCCAGGGCAGGGCCCAGCCCCTCGTTGAGCAGACGCCAGGGGTCCCACTGACCAGGGGTGGCTCCTTTCAGACCCTTCCTTTCTTCTAGGAAGGGACAGGTGGACAAACCTTCTCTAGACTCTTACATCCCTCAGGCTGAGGGTCAAGAGCATGCGAGTTGCAGCCCAAAGACCCAGGGCTGTGGGAGTCCGGCCCCCCCAGTTTGTGCAGCCATTTCTCCTGCCTCTCACTAGAGACCTGAATACACGTCGGGTGTGACGCTGTCAAGCCCTTGCACATGCTGACCTTCTCCTTGGAAAGCCGTGCCACCCACTCATTCTCTGCCCTCTGAGAGGTTTTCCCATCCCCTCGTGCCTTGGTCTCCCTAAGCCTTGAGGATCATCTCAGAACACCCAGAGCCAGGCTGGGGTGTAGGGAACGAATGAGTGCTCTGGTGT